TGGCTTCATGTGGAGGAGTGGGGAATCAAACCCAGTTCTCCATATTAGAGTCCACCGCTCTTAAGCACTACACCAAGCTGGTTCTGTATAGTTTGAGGGTGAAAAATTGGTAACATTTATTTATTTATTTAATTTATTTATAATCCACCTTTCTCATTGAGATCCCCAGTTAAGAACAATGCAACAGGAACAGTATTAAAAGATACAACCAACAGTGAATAAAATGGAATTATAGAATTAGAAAACAATGCACTAAAATAGTATCCCAATGCACTAAAATATAAGCCCTAGCATATTGGGACTTTCCAGCTCTCCCATTGGCTGTGCACTCCATCAGCCATTTGCCTGTCAACTGCCACTCAAGAGTACTCTTGTGCCATTGGCTGGGTGCTGGGTCCACTCCTCTCCCCTGCCCACTGCCGGCTTGACCACTCTTCCCTGTCTGAATAAACTGCCAAAATGGCTGTCTCTTCTGACAAAGACGCTTCTACTGCCACAGTTTCACTCCTCCATGTCTGGCTGGCTACTGAAACAGCTGTTCCCTGCTCAGAAATAGGCTTCTACTGCTGCCGCTTTTCCTGCTTGACTCCTCTGTGGCTGGCTGGCTGGCTGGCTGGCCACTAAAGTGAGCCACCAGCCATCAAACCATTCTCTTCTCCTCCTGCTGTGGGGCTCACTTTTCCCTCAGTGGCTGTTGCTAGGCAACCAAGCTTGGTTCTGTCAGTAAAAAGGCAGGGGCAGGAGGCCCTTTCCAGGCCTACTTTAACCTTTGTGGGGAACTCATTGGGGCCAGTCTTGACTAGGGTTGCCAGCTCCAAGTTGGGAAATTCCTGGAGATTTTGTGGCGGAGTCTATGGAATCCAGAATTTGGGGAGGGGAGAGGCCGCAGCTGAATATAATGCCATCAAATCCACCCTTCAAAGTATTTAGTTTAGAGAGATGCGTTGTCTGGAGTTCAGTTGTGATACCAGGCAATCTTCAGGCTCCACCAGGAGGTTGGCTACCCTAGACCTGGCAGTGTCCTTTGGGTGACTTGATGACACGTGTCTAGCATGACTTAACTGGGCCTGGCTACTTGCTCCTGTTCACCAGCAGCAGCTCCCCTAGGACAGCCAGTGTGGCATAGCCGTTAGTGCTTCAGAGCAGGGTCTGCCAGACCCAGGTTCCTCTGTGGAAGCTGAGTGGGCGATTTTGGACTAGTCACAGCCTTTCAGCCTAACCTACCTTATAGGGTTGTTGTGCAGATCAAAAGGAAGAGAGGAGAATGACGTAAGCTGCTTTGGTCCTCACTGCGGAGAAAGAATGTACTTTTCCTCCTGTGGAACCATTGTTGCCAATCTCCAGGTGAGGGCTGGATATCACTCAGAATTACAACTGCTCTCCAGGTGGCAGAGATCAGTTCCCAGGAGAAAATGGTGGACTCTGTGTCATTATACCCTGCTGAGGTCACCACAGCAAATTGACACTGAGTGCCCAAGACTGGGGCACCCACCCAGAGCTTCTTTCCAGAGCTCATTTATTTCCACAATGGGCCTTATTACTAGTAATACATATAATTGTATAATACATACAAATAATGCAACAGAGCTGGACAGTAAAATTGGAGAACAATACAGTAAAACAGTGTCTTACATCAGGGAACTGTGCAATGAAAACTGCCCAGGTTTCACAGCTTTTATATAACAAGCACTAATGAATGTACTAGGTAACTTAACTAATAGTTAATTAATTAAATTTTGGAGTAGGATTCTGGTGGGTGTCATATACATTGACTAGATAAACACATTTTTCCAGAGTCCTCAGAGTTCCATGCTTAGCAAATACAAGAGGTTTATTGTTTAACTATGTGGAGTAAATAGATATAACTTGTTCATCTTGAAAAAAATCAAGGAAGTTTTCATAGCTAATTGGAATTTCAAATTAAAAGTTTACCCAAACTAAAGAATAACTGAGTCACTCAGTTAAAGCTGTGACAATCCACCTAGCCGGGAGATTATTTATTGCATCACATGATCCACAGATGACTGTTGCTCAGTTTACACTGTGCCCCACACCCTTTAGTGTGTTTTTTTCTTCTAGTTAGGAATTGCCAAGGATCACAGTGCAACTATTCAAAAGGTTCAAAAATCCTGTTTGCAGACGCAGACTATGGGTTTTCTACTGAACTTTTTTCTGTGTTTGACAAGTTTTAAGGTAAGTCGTTTTTGTGATGTTGTTCTGTATGTGCTGCCAGCTGTCAACAGATATATAACACGATCTAACAGATAATATTATTTAGACTTTCTGATTAGTCTTTGAGCGAAAATCCACATATCAGTATGACCAGCACATCGATCCTTAGAAGTAGATATGTCAAGGGGTTAAAGGGCAGCCAAACAGCAAAAATTGCCATGGGTTTCAGAACTGATTTTTGTTGTTGTTGTTTGGTCGCACAGTCGAGTCCGACTTATGGTTAATTTATATTGGTCTGAATGTTAAGTTTGCTCTGTCATTTTGATAAACTTGTTAGTTTCCCTAGGTGATTTAAGAATAGTCAGTCTGCTGTAAAGAATAATAGGGAGTGTACTTCGGTATGCTGGTTCTCAGCCAATAGTTACTCTACTACAGAAAAAAAAACCATAGACAGGTGGAGGCTTAAAAATCCATAGACACTATAAATATTTTAAAACATGATACTGAAAGAGATTTTCTGTGCTTCCTTCATTTGTTATGCTTATGTAATCTTATGTTGGATGGAAATAATGCATATTCAGTTTTAAAATGGCTGTCTTTCACTTACTGTATACATACTCTCTCTCTTACACCCACACTCACACACCCACAATACAAGAGTGGTTCAAAGGTGAGTCATTTTAAATGTCCTAGGACTGAATTGTGCAGCAAGATAGAGATGCCTAAAGAAAGTTGACAATTTCTGCTTATAGGCAGAGATTCAGGCAAGCAGTTGTCAGAAGAAAGTACATTTATTTGTCAGGATTTCACAGACTGCTGTGCAGATGTCGGGGTACTGTAGCAACTCAGCCCTTTAGGGAGGATGAGGCAGAAAGTAATAAAAACAGTTACATACTGCTGTATTTAAATGGGGAGTAAAGTGATTGTGGGCTTCCCCATAGTAAGTCTAGATTTGTTCCTTTATAATATGTAGGGAGATCACTCTATACGGCTATTGGCACTAAAGTGCTACTAGAAGGGGGGGGAACCTAGGAAAGAAATTTCATCTAGAAAGTGTTTTGGGGTTGACTAGGAAAGTGGTGGCAAATCTTTTTTGGCAAGCATGCCACAAAACCAGTCCAGAGTATGAGACAGTGGTGTTCTACTGTGCAGAAGAATTTCAGTACAGTCTTGGTTGTGATTTTGTCTCCAGTCTGCTAGCAGAGCAAAAAGTGAGCCACTTCACTGGTGTACAAGTTGTCCCCTCCCAGCCATTCAGCTTCCTTGTTTGTACAACCATTTATAGTTATTTATTGGTTTAGCTGTTCTCATCCCACATTTCTCCCCCCCCCCCGTGGTGGCCCATGGAGGTTTACAATCTATATATCTAATAGCAAAGGCGCCCCTGCGTGCGGATATCTAAATCTGCACATTGGGGACTCCTAGGGGGCAAAGAGATTTTCCTGCACATTTGGGGCAATCCCCAGGTGTGCAGAAAAATCTGAAATCTATAAAAAAAACTATAGGGGGGGATACTTAAATCCCTCCATAAGTAAAGGAGTGTTCTCTGCACATGCACAGAGGATGCACTCACCACTAGGAACTGTGGCAGAACTGTGCAGGGCTTGCTGCCATTGCTGCTGTTGGTGGTAACAGCAGCGCAGGGGGAGAAACATTGGCGGGCCGGTGGCTGGGAACCGCGGCCATTGCTGCTGGGGGGGGAGCCTGGCCATCCCCGTGGCTAGGTGCCATGCAGGGCTTTCCGCCGTTGCTGCTGGCAGCGGTGGGGAGGAGGGAGAAGCCTTGGAGGGTTGGTGCTGGGAGCCATGGACATTGCTGCCAATGGGGGGGAGAAGCCTGGCAGCCCGGTGGCTAGGAGCCGCACAGGGCTTGTAGCTGTTGCTGCTGGCAGCTGCAGTGGCAGGGGAGAAACCTTGGAGGGCTGGTGGCTAGAGCAGCGGCCGTTGCTGCTGTCGGGTGGGGGGAAGTCTGGCAAGCCCAGCAGACCACCTGCTGGGCTTTCCTGTGGCCACTGCCACTTCCTCCTCTGTGTGGAGCTCCTGCTGCTTCAGCAGGCCAGCCACCCAGGAGCCGCAGGGAATACCCCCACCCATGAGTATAGTGGGTCCCCCTTCTTGTATTGTTCTATTCTCCTCCATTATATCCTCACACAACAGCCCTGTGAAGTAGGTTACACTGGGAGAGAACAACTGGGTGAAGGTCACTGTGTGATCTCCTTCAGTCTTATGCTCACTTTCTGTGTATGTTAAGTGCTGTCAAGTCACTTCCGGCTTATGCTGACCCTATGAATTAATGACCTCCAAAACATCCTGTCATTAACAGCCTTGCTCAGGGTTTGCAGACTGAGGGCCCTGGCTTCCTTGGTTGAGTTCACTTTGTTGTTCACTTTGGTTCATGGTATCGTAGCAAATTTCCCTTAAACTTAATTTTGAACTAGCTACGTGTACCTGTTATTTGCAATATTATACGAAGTACTTGATGACATAAACAATGAAAGAGAATTACTATGTTTTTCTGAATTAACCTCTTTCAAAAATCCAATCAATTAATTATCAATTATTCTCCCTTCCCCGCAGGAAATGTCAGGATGACTGAGCCTTGCCAAACTTCCTGTGGAGTACATACGGATACTTCTCAAAATGAAATGTTAGTAATGGACAGGATTAATAATAAACTCAGACACCTGTAAGCTTGGTTTGATTTGCCACTCCAAGAAATACAAGCCACAGTTTCTTCTACAGACAGAGAAATCTGCACTATTTCTAAGTATCCAGTTATGTCAAGAAAGATAATAATTTACTTACAATCTGCAATTAAATAGTCATGAAAACAAGACAATGAGATTTACTAAGCAAAACTTTGCTATGGTGGTTCTTGGAATTGTGACATATATTGCTGACATTGGAGCAGATATTTGGGTAGCAAGAAACTATTTCTGCAAGGAGCTGTATCTCTGGTGTTCCTTAACATTGACCATAGTGCTTCTTTCATCATTTGTGATCCAGTTTTTCAGTTACACTTGGTTTAAAGAAGACAATGATGTGGAGCCAGATTGGATCTGTCTATTACATTTCTTTCATGGAGGAATATTTACAAGGTAAGAACCAAATTTTCAGCCTAAACCCAAAAGAAGATGTGGCATCTTAAAACCTAAAAGATTTGTTGAAGCATTAAGCTATCCCACCAGAATTTGTAACACACAATAGAATGCACTAATAGATTTTTTAATGGAGTGGTTATAGTGATTCAGCCTCAATAGGGATTGGTTGACCAGCCCTGTTTGCATGGTGGTATAAGGCAACGTGACAAAGACATAACTGAGACCCGGTCCATTATGACATGAATGGAGGAGATGCTACTTGTTGTCTCCTGCACTGCCAACACCAGATGTGAACCAAGCCGCTGAAAACATTGGCACTCTCTTCATTGTGTTACCACAAGCAGTTGCTTGGCTGGCTTGGTTAGGGAACCAGTCCTGGAAACAACAATTTAGAGGAGGAGGCAACAGACCAAGCTAATCTGGAATGAAGAGATGGGGATGGCTGGGTCCAGAGGAATGTGGGGAACAGAGGTCAGAGGGAGGAGTCTGAGGTGGAAAGGAAGGCTCAGAGAGAGAATGGATAGCAAGGCTATGATTATAGCAAGGACACATGATTAAGGTACATGTGTCCAGGAGATGTGGAAGTGAAGGGGAGTGGTTCATAACATTGATTTAAAATATTCTACAGATCGTTGGTTGTAAATCTCTGGTTTGTTTAATTTCTTTCATGGATTTAATTAAGAATAGCTATTGTCTGTTTCCAATGTTCACACGTCTGTGGAGCGTGACTATAATGTGGCTCATCAGCAACGTTTATTATAAAGCAATGAAAAGCAACTGAAACATTAAAATCGAATTGGTGTGCAATAGAAGAGAGAGACTTGAATCCAATAGCACCTTAAAGATCAACAAGGTTTTGGGGGTATAAGCTTTTGAGCATCAAAGTTCCCTTTATCAGATGAATCTGACTTAAATCTGAAATCTAACTCTTCAAGACTTAAAGGTGTGACTTTAAGTTGGTTTACTATTAGTTGGTTTACTATTTCCCCAGCAAATACTATAATTTTGAAAGATTAGGATTAATCAGAAAAATGGATTAATGAGGACTTATTCATAATTACTCTGACCACAGGACACCACAGGATCTGGTGGTGGTGGTGTAGACCCATGCTCAGGAGGTTATGTCACTCATTACCCATGCTGCTGATGGCGGAGAGCCAGCCAAGCCTGTGTGGTATGTGTGGTACACTAGCACCCTCCTCAGTTGTGCCAACCCAAGCTGTTGCTTGGAAGACTTGTGTGGGGAAATGCCCTACACCTAGACTTCACATCGAAGATGCAGCAATAACGTCTTAACTTTTTACATGCTCAAAGGGCGTTTCTACAGGTTAACAGCTGGCAATAGGAAGGCTACAAGGGAATGAGTCAGCTTCATGGGCACAGTGTCTTGGATTTGCAGATGGTTAGCTGGTACGTTTTGGAGAGAAAGAGACAGAATGATGGACAAGGGGAGGGTCATACAAGAGGGAATAAAATCTCTGGATATGAAGATGAAGCTCTCTTTAGATATGTTCTGTTCTGCTCTTAAACTTGGGCCAGTTAATGTGAAGGATTAAGCCATGGATGCCATGTTGAGCACATGTGACTGAAACAAAGGGAAGGAACCCCAAGCTAGGAATCTGAGGTGGTAGATGATTTGTGAATACTGCAGCTTCAAGAATAAGTAGCCCATCCTTAGTCTAACCATCTTATAGGGGGATGTAGAAAAGTAGAGAAAGAGGATTTGCAGTTATATCACTTTTCACGTCGATCCTTGCTAAGTTCGCTGTATAAATAGACCACACACTTGCTTTGATTACTTCATTAAGCTACTTTATAATTTGAATGCTGTTAGCTTGATCTCTGGACCCACAAGACTCTTAATTCAGTCACACTTATCCAGGAGAAATAAGGGGAGAGGACAGTGGAAGGATCTTTTGAGTAAACAAGTGTGCATGCTGGTTCCTGCAGTTGCTGGTGAGTGCAAAGGGGGAGCTGAAGCAAAGGGGAGGAGCCTTTAAGCAGTGCCATGGCAGAAAGTGCTGAAGTGCTATTTCTTTCTCAGGAAAGCCTGCTTGTCAGGCAAGGAGGGGTATAAATACAACCAAACAATAAATAAATAAATTTAGGACCAGAAGGTGGCAGTGGAAATACCCAGGGGTCATTTCCTAGAAAAAGAGGTGCAGGAGCTCATTTGCATGACTGATTTGCATATGCCACACCCCCTGACAAAGGGGAGGCAGGTTTAAAATGAGTTAAGGCATGCAAATGAGTTTAAATCCCCCCTTCCCTGAGTCTCTCTGCAAATCCCTGGCTTCCTTGCCCGATCTTCTCCAGGTGCCCCGCAGCGACGGGGTCCGTGAAGAGGATGGGGCAGGGAAGCCAGGCATGTCTGCCCGCTTCCCCTTTCCCTCTCCAGCCAACCCGCTGCAGTTGGCTGGCTGCAGAGGGGAAGGGCAGGGAGGCAGACATGCCTGGCTTCCCTGCCCTATCTTCTCCAGGTACTCTGTGGCTGCGGGACACCTGGAGAAGATCGGGCAAGGAAGCCAGGGATTTAAATCTCCCCCATCCGTGAGTCCGGGTGGGCCAGGAAAGGGGTGGGTGGGGCCTGGGCTCCTTCCTGCCGGAGCGCCGCTTCAGGGCGCTTTGGCAGGAAATGACCCCTGGAAATACCCAAAGAGAAGTAGATACCTTAGGAATAATGGAAAGCCTCACCAGGCAGAGATCTGGGATGGCTGTGGATCTTTACAAACTTCCACATTGACAGAAACATGGTTTGTGACCAGTGTTTCTCTGCAGCTTGAATGAAGAGCCTGCATATCCTGTGAGAGTCCAGCTCCCCCTCAACAGAGACATGCTGTACACTCTCCCCAGTCAGTACTGAATAGTGGACCAAGAATAAGGGAAATGAGGAGGCATAAGAGCCTGCTTTGCCTTGTTTGAACCCCAGACCCTAACAGCAATTTCTGGCAGAATGTGCTGGTGCAAAAATCCCCAGACATATTGTGATGCACTTGTACATGCTGCTAGCTAGTTCTTCAGCCTACTTTCCAGCTTCAGTCTCCTTCAATTGCTACGTGGTAGTGTCCAAGGAGAGATGCACATCACTGGACTATTCTGCAGGGCCATACTTTTAAAGGTACAGGGTCTCCTTCTGTGCTGAAACCTGGCAACCTTAAATTTGCATCTGAATGCATCTGTTTCAGGATTAGGAAAAAATTGCAGCACTAAGTGAAGTAGGGCTTGATCGGTATTGAAAGACTTGAAAACAAATTCTTTTTTTAAAAATGACCCTGAGAACGACTCTTAAGTTTCTTTGCAATCTGAACATCATTTGTATTTTCATTTTTTGTCAAATAATTCTGTTTAGCATGTAGCGAAAACAATTCAAAATTATTTAGAGATGCAAAAGTTGACAAAGTAGCATATATGGAAATCACATCCAGAGCTAACAGTTACTTTGCCAAGATTTTTTTCCTTTGGAGGACTGACATGAGAACTTGTATGTTTTCAGTGTTCTTCAGTCGGCTTTCTCACAGTCATTTTAGCCAAAAGGACCATTATATAAGTTAAAGTTTCTTCTACTCCAGGCTGAGGAGGTTGGGAGTGCTGAAGTCACTTGCAATTAACATACTTCTTTGTCATCCTAAGAAGACAACAATAACAAAATTGCTGCACAATCCCTGTTTATGTTTTTTAGTTTCATCAGAATGAACAAGATGTGGACAAGTGGCAACTGACTGCTGAATCATTACCAACGGAACTGTATAGGCAATATCAGATAACACAAGCAGGGGACTGAAAAGAATTACAGGAAAGGTTTTCCCGTTCCCCTATATAGAAATTCTACTGCATCTTTCAAAATCTCCCTCTCCAAAGTTCTGTAAGCTTCCAGTGGCTTGAGTAGGGACATTTTGTTTGGTGTAGAAGTTAAGAGCAGCAGACTCTAATCTGGGTGAAAAGTACTCGAGACGTTGAGTGATTCAGCAAAGAGTACTTTATTAGATCAGAACAAGACAAAGAAAACCAGCTCGCAGGCCGGTATATATGCGTTCAGAAAACCTGCCACCAGTACACCTAAACACACCCCCTCCTCCCGATAGGCTATTTACAGTAACCGGGCGACCATTGGTCTCCCGGCTGGAAAGCTAGCCCTTTTGATTGGGCCGGCTAGGATCCTTCGGATCCTTTGTCTTTCGGCTGATGCTACAGCTAAACTGTGCCTGGCCAGCCCGGGTAAGTCCGGGCATGTCAGGCTGAATACCTTGCATGTGGTAATGGCGGCAGTACATTACACCCCTCCCCCCATAGTCCAAACTACCCACATACAAAGTCCTGGAGGTATGCGGGAGCCTTCCTGGGCCTCGTGGAACGGCGGAGTTCCGGGGTGTTGTTCGGGGCTGCTACTTGAGGCCGGGGGGGGGGGAGGTTGGTGGTGGCGTTTCCTGTGGTGGCAATGCCTGGGGCTCCGGAGCGACCGGGGCCAGGGCCAAGGCTGGGGTCTGTGGTTCTGGGGCATGGACTGATGCTTCGTTGTGCTCCTGAGGCTCTAGGTCCTCGGGGTCGTTCGAGAGGACCCGGCGCCGCAGTTGGTCGATGTGGCGGTGGAGCAGTTGGCCATCCTCGCAGGAGACCTTGTAGGATCGAGATCCTCGCACCCGTACCACTCGCGCGGGGATCCAGGGTGGCCCCTGTGCGTAGTTCTTAGCGTAGACTGGGTCTTCCGGGAAGAAACCTCTGGCGGCTGCGTACGATTCTGTTGCCGGTTCCACCTCGGGTGCCCTGTC